AGGTCCAGAGGAATGTAGCTTTGGGACCACCCAGGAAGAGCTGAAACATGGCACCAATAAAGGAATAGACCTCTCCTGTGGTTTCAAACTCTTAAACACACTTCCGTCCCTGTGGGAAGCGTTTCTTTTCCTTGCTTATGATACAGATCCAAGCTTGCATCTGTTTTTATTACTCTCTGCTTTGTGCACTTTATGGGGGGAAGCTAAAGGAGAAAATGGAAATGCAGTTTTAAGTCCTTTATGCGCCACTTAGTGCCTTTTAAAACTGAATTCCTGCTTTTGCAGGCATGATAGGGACTGAGGAAGCCTCAGGAAAGAGTCTGTTTGGGGTGAAACTTGTCAGTTCTTTTATACCTTCCTCTATTGAGAAGGATTCCTTTTTAAAAAGTTTACAAAACTGGCAAAAGCTTTAGAACTAAAGACTGAAATGATGCCATTACATAAAGTCTTATAATATTAGAGAATCCTGTCTGCCACACCGTGTGGAAAACTACTATCATGTTTAAATCTATTCACTGAAATGTAAGGTCTTTTACCTGACAGGCTGTCAGTTTTGTTGGAACATATTTTTTTCTTTTGCCTTTATTCCTATACCTTCTTCTAGAAAAGAGCAAACATGCCTTGAAAAGCCAGAGGCTCACAATAAAAGGAACGAACTTGATAATTTAAGAAAAGAGCTAGAGTTTAAATGAACCATGTGACCTCTGATAAGTCACTTGAACTTGTGCCTTGGCCAGATTCACTGTTTGTAGGTTTATATTGGTACTAGAGGCCTGGTGCATGAAATTTGTGCACTGGGGGGGCGGGGGGGCGGTGCCCTTCAGCCCAGCCTGCGCCCTCTTGCAGTCTGGGAACCCTTGCTCCTTGCCACCCCGCCTGCAGCGAAGGCCAGAGAGGCTCCCACCACCAACGCTGTGACGCTGTGTTCACCAGTGAGCCTGGCTTCTGGCTAAGTGGCACTCCCCCTGTGGGAGCATACTGACCACTAGGGGGCAGCTCCTGCGTGGAGTGTCTGCCCCCAGGTGGTCAGTGCTTATCATAGCGACCAGTCGTTCCACCGTTCGCTCGATTGCATATTAGGGCTTTATTATATTGGTATATGTATTATACACTACCCTCACACAGTTGTCATTTGAGAAGTTTTGTTTTTGAAAGTTCTGCATAAGAACAAAACTTTATTATTAATTAGAGGAAAGATGGTATCAAACATTATGGCCTTTAAGTGATGTCCTATTGCACATGGCTTAGCAGTAAATCAGGTCTTATTTCCTATGCACTGTTTAATATATTTAGTAATGGAGCTAAAACTGTCAGTTTTATTTAGTGATTCTTCCTTTATTTAACTTTACTTGACCTGTCTGGTAGCTTTAAAATAGCTTTGGCTTAGTAAGGACCAAAGCCCCATCCCCATATGGACAATATCCAGAAATATCTAATAATTCTTTATTTACCTTGATTGTGTGATAAAATTTTTTATCTGTAGTTGCCTTTTTCTTTGGCTTATAATGGTGAATTATTATGGATTTTAAAATTTGCCTGCAAATATTTATATAAACATTCAGGTATGTGAGCCTTACTTCTTAAGATAATTTCATTTTTGTGGGAGGGTGGTAAGGAAGGCTTAGGCAAAATCTGGGAAAATTCTATATGTATGAAGTATGAGTGGAAGGTGGGAAAACAAAGTTTCTTCTGGCATATAATCTATTAAAGATTTTTTTTGACTATTTTAACACTTAACCATTTAAGTATTTTTATAAGGCCTGAATTAATTCCAAGCATTTTATATTTTTTTCGTATTTACGTACCATCTTGCCCTGAAGTTCTTGCTATTTTATTCACTTGCTGTTAGATTTAGAAAAATTTCAGGTTGTTCTAAAAACTGTTTCCTTGCTTATCAGTGATGCTTAGTTTTGAATATTAAATTGAAAGCTTAGCTTTGAAAAGTTAGTGCATTTTCAGGGGGCCTCTCATCTTCCTGCAGGCTCATACTTCTCAGCGAAAGGCCTTACAGATATTAACTAAAAACAAACCTACAGAATCACTATAGTTCAGATTAAAAACATCAATGTGATGGATGATGTTTCACTAGAACTAAATTACTGATATTGGGTTTAATAAACCTACTATTTACATGTTTTACTTCTTGCTAAAAAAAAAGCCTTACTGCATTTTATAAGCATATTTATAGATTTCAGAATAATTGTCTAGATTGGTCCTACTCCTTTTAGTGGTGAGAAAAGGAAGATGTGTCTAAAAGGTACTTTAATTCTAAAGTATTAGATTTTTAAAAATAAACATGATAATGTATGATTTAATGAAATCTTAGGATTGATTTACTGTTTAAATTCACCATTTTTGTTTTGATCTTAAAGGAATAACTTGGTTTAATTACCTACGGGGAAACTTTGTTTCTTGGGTCTTTATTAACATATTCTGCCTCTGAAAAGTGTTTATAAAGTTTTCTCAGTGAGGATTCTTATGAGTTTTCTTTGGCCTCTCTTCTCCCTTAACAGTGAACTGGTGGCTTTATATCACCTTTTTCAGTAAAAGATGCATTCTCGTTGCTGGCCCACCCAGTCTTGGGGAGGTTGCTAACCAGGCTGAAAAGAATGTCTTTTACCTCGGAACTTCCCTCAGCCTTTACTTAGTGGGTCAGGGACATTAGGAGTTCAGATGGTTTGCTTAGTGTTTGTTGCTCTGCCACTCCTGGCTGGCCTTTCCACACAGCATTGTTTATTTACACATTCCTACCAGTCTATGGGCGCTCCTATTAACATAAAAGGAGGTTTCAAATTTTTCTCTTAAAATAACTCATTTCAGGAGAAGTTAAATGTTAAGACTTTTTTGTTGTTTTTTGATACTTCCAATAAGCTTAGAGTAAAAATAATAGAATAAAAGTTTTGATTCTTTCATGGGGAAGTCTTTCTAGATTGCTTTGTAGACAAACTGAGGGCAAACTGTCATGTTGTCATGTGTGATAATGAAACATCTTCAGACTCATTCCGTATTAGCAGGACCCTGAGCAATCTGTTCCACGGAGCGCTATGTGCTAACACTTGGTAAAGTCGCTTGGGAATATTGGTTTTGTTTTACCTGTTATTTTTCTTTTTTCTCTTACATGAAGTTACATGCTTTAGGCAAACAAATTGCTCTGTGCTGGGAGTGTGTTTCTTTAGCATCGTACCCACCGTTCTCTTGGGTGTGTCTCAGATAGGGTATGCATGTATGAATTACAGAACAGTCGAGTAAATTGATGTAAAAATGTTTTATATTCTTCCTAGAGGTTTTTTTTTTTAAAAAAAATAGTTTACATGGAAGTCATAATGGACCTTTTTTCTTTTTAATCTTCACCTGAGTATATATTTATTGATTTTTTTAGAGACAGAGAAGGTGGGGGGAGAGTGAGAAAAACATTGATCGGTTACCTCCCATATGGGCCCTGACCGGGTGGGTATATAGCCTACAAGCTGGGTATGTGCCCTGACCAGGAATTGAACCTGAAACCTTTTTGGTGTGCTGGACAACACTCCAATCCATTGGGTCACTCTGTTGGGGCTTCATGGAACTTTTTTTTTTTACCCCATTGTAAAAGACCATTTGCCATTGGATAGTTTTCCTTGTTAAATCATACTGTAGCTATGTTTTGAGTATTGGTTCTTGTGTATCTTGGAGTACATAAGACTTACCTGGAATTCTTGTTTAAAAAGTTTAAATTACCAGCTTTCTACCCCAGGGGTTGCCTCAGTTGGTCTGGTCTTTGGCCCCAGAATTACTGCTTTTGTATACAGTAGTGCAGGTGCCTCAGAGACAGCAGTGAGAGACTGCACTGCATGGTGGGAAAGTGCAGTTCAGGATGGCCTGGCGGCAAGTGGGTGGCTTTTCCTTGCAGTTCAGATGAGGTGTCTGCCAGGTGCAGTCACTGACAGTGCACAGTGTTCAGAACAGTCAGGGCGCCTGTAATTCGGAGGATTATCTCAGCTCCTTGAAGCTGTTCCTCAAAATGAGGATGTCACAGTGCCTTCTCTGAGCAATGAATGTACAAGTTATACAAGTGTCCTATTTAGTGGCAGGTGTCATTAGGATTAAAAAAAACGTTTGAAAGTTGTTTCTTTTTTCAATCCTCACCCAGGAATATCTTTCCATTGATTTTTAGAGAGAGAGAAACATCGATTGGTTGCTTCCTGTATACATCCTGATCAGGGATCGAACCAGCAACCTTTTGTTGTACGGGAGACGCTCCAATTAACTGAGCCACCTGGCCAGGGTAAAAGTTGTATTTCTTTTAAAAAGCAAAATTCAGCACTGTAACTTGAACCCCTAACTCATACACAGAAAACCTTAAACCATAAATAAAAGTAATGAACAAAAAGACAGGAGATGACCATAACTTTGAAAATTAGCAACAAAAGTAACCCATATTAGGAACTTTTCAAAATCTAGGAGCAGAAAGATTAAAAATATTTCTTTCTTGGGAAGAATTTCGTTTGCCAGAACAAATTTAAATGTGGTGTTCTTGTGACCAAGGGAAGGTGGACTTTGACTCCCAAAACTTTCCAATTTAGATGAAAAAATGCTGTCAGAGACTAAAGCCTTAAAGGAGTGGATGTTAATCTTGAACATTTACAATTTTCCTTCTCAGATTTCTTTTAAATGATTTGTTGAAAGTACTTTTCTCTTATACCCTTTAAAAATGGCTTTAAAATTTAATATACTTTAAAAAAGTGCAATAGGATGAGATGATGCTATTAGTATATTAAAAGCATGTTTCTGTTTTTGTAAGGTCATTTAATGGAATAAAGATCACAGCCTCATGTTGTCTCCGTGTTTTTTCTCTTTAATGTGGGAAGATCTGTGAAACAGGTTTGGGCGTGGCAAAGTGAATAGGATCTCTAAGAGGATAAGTAACTTGGTGTCAAATGTAGTGATAATGAGGTTTGAGTGAGTCAGCTAGCTTTCTCTGTCCT